GAGGATAGATACATGAAAAAAATTGTATTAGACCACTTTCTTATACCACATACAAGAATATACTCAAAATGGATTAGAGACTTATATGTAAGAACTGAAATAATAATGTAGACAGTAAACTATTTGACATTGGTTTTAGCAATATTTTTTAATATGACTCCTTAGAGCAAAGACAACAAAAGCAAAAATAAACAAGTGGGGTTACATTAAGCAAAAAATCTTTTGCACTGCAGAGAAAACCATAATAAAACAAAAAGGCAACCTACTAGGATATATTACAAAAGATATAGCCAATAAGGAATTAATATTCAAAATACACAAAGAACTATCAAAGCTCAGCGTAAAAAACAAACAATCTGACTAAGAAATTAAGAGATGCGTGCACAGATACTTCACCAAATAGGACATAAATGGCCAATATACACATGAAAAGATGCTCAATATCCCTAATAATCAGGGAAATTCAAATCAAAACCACAATGAAATGTCACCTTATAACTTTCAAAATAGCTTTCATCAATGAATCACAAACAAGCTTTGGCAAGGATGTGGAAAACAGGGAACCCTTATGGACTATTGATAGAATTGTAAATTGGTGCAGCCACTATGGAGAACAGTATGTTGGTTTTTCAAAAAATTAAAAATAGAACCCTAGCCAATGTGGCTCAGTTGGTTAGAGCTTCATCCCATACACCAAAAGGTAGCAGGTTCGATTCCCAGACAGGTCACATACCCAGGTTGTGGGTTCAATTTCTGGCTGAGGTAACCAATTCCTGGCAGGAGATAACCAATCTATTTCCTCTCTCTCTCTCTCTCTCTCTCTCTCTCTCTCTCTCTCTCTCTCTCTCTCTTTCTCTCTCTCTCTCTCTTTCTCTCTCTCTCTCTCTCTCTCTCTCTCTCTCTCTCTCTCTCTCTCTCTCTCTTTCTCTTTCTCTCTTCCTCTCTCTGGAATCAATTTTTTTTTAAATTTAAAAATAGCTCTGGCTGGTTTGTCTCAGAGGTTAGAGCATTGGCCTGTGAACTGAAAGGTCTTGGGTTCAATTCCAGGTCAAGGGCACAGACCTTGGTTGCAAGTTCCTCAGCCCTAGTAGGGGCACATATGGAAAACAAATCAATGTGTCTCTTTTATGTCAATGTTTCTCTCTCTCCTCCTCCTCCTCCTTCCACTCTTTCTAGAAATTAATGGGGAAAAGATATTATGACTCAGTAATTCCATTGCTGTGTATTTTTCTGAAGAAACTAAAACACTAATTCAAAAAGAGATATACACCCCTATGTTCATTGCAGCAGTACTTACTATAGCTGAAATATAGAAGTAATCTAAGTGCCCATCAATACAGAAAGGCATAAAGAAGAAGTGGTACATATATACAATGAAATATTACTGTTATATAAAAAGAGGATGAAATATAGCCTTCTTTTTTTTTACAACATTGATAAACAAAGAGGATATTTTGGTAAGTGAAATAAGTCAGAGGGAGACACATACCATACGATTTCACTTACATGTGGAATCTGAAAAATAAAATAAACAAACAAAACCAAAACAAATTCATAGATACAGAAAACAAATTGATGGCTGCCAGATGAGAGGAGGATTGGAGGATGGGTGAAAAGGTGAAAGAGATTAAGAAGTACAAATTGCCAGTTATAAAAATAAGCACAGAAATGGAAAGTGCATCCCAGCCTGTTTAGCTCACTGGATAGAGTGTCAGCCCAAGGAATGAAAGGTCCTGAGTTTGACTTTGGTCAAGGGAATGTACCTCAAACCTCAGTTACAGGCATGATTCCAGGCCCAGTATAGGAGCCAACCAATCAATGTGTCTCACATCAATGTTTCTTTTCCTCTGTCTCTCCCCCTTCCACTCTCTAAAAATTAATGGGAAAATATCCTCAGGTGAGGATTAGCAAAAAATAAAAATAAAAATAAAAATAAAATGTAAAGCACAGCATAAAAATTATTCTAATATATAAAAACTCAGGGTTCAAAACAAATAACGGAAGGCTTGACCTGACACCAGAAGTCAGTCCTGCAGTCAGTGCTGGGTTGCCATGACAACCCAGCACTGACTGCTAGGGAGCTGCAGATCAGGACAGGAGAGAGGCCCAAAGAGAGAGGCAAGGTCTGATCCACAGCTTCTGTGGCAGCTGTTGATCAGCTGTTGCCTCTCTCTTTCTCTCCAGGCTTTGCCACCAGCCACACCTGTTTCTCTTTGGACTTCAGTGGGGGCTGCTGATCAGCCCTGCCTCTCTGATCAGGCCCACAGATAGGTCCAGAGACGCTGACTGGCATAGAAACTGACTAATCAGAACCAAATCTGGGTGAACTGTGAGATGCCAATGGCTGCCTAGAGACTGGAGCTTTTGAAGCTGACTGGCATAGAAACCAACAAATCATTAAACAAATTGGCAGACAGGGTAGGGCAGCTAGGGACAACCAGGCCAACAGGGGAGAGAAGTTTGAGGCGATATCAGGCTAACAAGGGAGGGCAGTTAGGGGTGATCAGGCAGGCAGGGGAGAGCATTCAGGGGCAAAATCAGGCCAGTAGGGGAGGGAAGTTAGGGGCAATCAGGCAGGCAGGCAGAGAGGTTAGGGGCGATCAGGCAGGCAGGCAGGTGAGTGGTTAGGAACTAGTGGTCCCAGATTGCAATAGGGATGTCCAACTGCCAGTTAAGGGATCCAACTACCACTAAACCGGTAGTCAGACATCCCCCAAGTGGTCCCTGATCAGAGAGGGTGCAGGCTGGGCTGAGAAAATCCCCCTCCATGTATGAATTTCATGCACTGGGCCACTAGTAACCAATAATATGGTAACTGTAACCCTGAACAGTTTGTCTCAGTGCATAGAGCATCAGCACAAGGACTGAGGGGTCCCAGGTTCAATTCCAGTAAAGGGCACATACTTGCTTGCAGGCTCTATCCCCAGCCCCGAGGGCCTGTGCAGGAGGCAATCAATTGATGTGTCTCTCTAATATCAATGTTTCTCCCTTTCTTTCTCTCCTCCTCCCTTCCACTCTCTCTAAAAATCAATGGAAAAATATCCTCCGGCAAGGATTAAGAAAAAAATAATAATAGTAATATTATATGATGTCAATATAGGTACTAGAATTATGGGAGTGATCACTTTGTGAGCTATATAAATATATAATCATTATGTGTACACCTATAACTAATCTGTATTCAATGTCAAATGTAACTGAAAAATAAATATATAAATCTTATATAATAAAGAGGTAATATGCAAATTGACCCTCAAGTCCTCATGTTACAAGATGGCCACCCCCACATCATCACAAGATGGCTTCCACAAGATGGCAACCCCTACATTGTCACAAGATGGCTGGCAGGGGAGGGAAGTTGAGGGCGGACAGATCTGCAGGGGTGAACAGTTGGGGATGATCCCACCAGCAGGGGAGCAGTTAGGTGTCAATTATGCTGGCAAGGGAGTGGTTAAGTGTCAATCAGGCCATTAGGGCAGCAATCAGGCAGCCAGACAGGCAAAAAGTTGGGAGCCAGCAGTCCCAGATTGTGAGAGGAATGTCTGACTGCCAGTTTAGGCCTGATCCCACATGGACATCCCCTGAGGGGTCCCAGATTTGAGAGGGTTCAGGCTGCCTGAGGGAACCCCCCTCCCCCCCTAAAAAAAATGCACCAATTTCATACACCAGGCCTCTAGTATATAAATAAAAGAAAGGCTCTACTCTCATAATTTACCCTCCCTCAGAAAATTATATAAGTGCCAAAAACCTTTGACTTATTAGTACTGTCTTCCAGAATAATTCAGAGTGGTTTGGATCCTGTATCCACTTAGGAATAAAAGATCCAACACAATTTTATTCCTAAAATTCAGTATTAAATATTGTGCAATTTCACCACTTCAATTTGCACCATGCCATTGGAATGTTTTCACACTACTTTAAACTTTTCTTTTGTATTACTTTGATTTTAAAAATAATAATAAGACTTTTAGCAAAAAAGTCTTATTTTCTCCTTTTCTCTCCTCCTAACTTATGATAAGTCAGCAGAGCACTCTGATTCCTTTTAACTCCCACTTCCAACAGTTCCTCCTTCCCTTGGGGTCTATTAGGGTCTCAGGAAAGTAGGAATATCTACCTGACTGATACTAATATTTCTTCCACATAAAACAAGTGGCCAGAAGTTTTGACCTGATTAAAACATTGACATAATGGCATCAACTGTAGTAAACTAAAATAATTTGTTGACTCTTTTAGAAAATGTTTTTTCTCCAAAGATGATGATCCATACTTTTCTAAGAAAACCTTTGAAACAGTTAACACTTTACCAATCCCCACTTTGATCACACAGAAAAACCTCACAAAAGCTCTGCTCATGTGGTTTTGTAGTGAAGTTATTGGAAACAAAAGTTCCAAATCCAACTGGCCACAAAGAGAATCAAATAAAACTAGCCACTTATTCCTCAAGTGCCAACTTCCACCATATGTAGTCCCCAAAAAACCAAAAGGGAAAAGTAATCAAAGTAAAGCGTAACAGAACTAGCATCACAGAATCATGGGAACAGGATTTGCTAAAGAAGTTCACCCAAACCTATGAAAATGAAAATCATCATTCTTTTAACAGCTGTCCCACAGACCCTATAAAGGAATGTGCTACTATGATTTGCATTGATCTGATTAGTGTATTTACATATTGCATCTTCCCTTCTGCACCATTCCCAATCAGCAGGCTGTCCAGTACATTAGCAGGAATACAGGGCGAATGCTGGATTTAAAGTCAAGTAAAATCTCCTAAAAATCTTTTTTATTGCCCTACACACTCAAAACAACATTCAAGATATAGTACACGGTTAAAATGGGTTGGCTCTGTTTACAAAATTATAGATTTAATTTGTTTTTTGTCCCCCCACTTTGACAGTTGATATCATAGGTCAGTTCTTAAGTATACACACACACACACAAACACAAACACACACACACACACACACACACACACACACACACACACACACATTGCCAACAGTATGGAGGGGAAATAGTAAAAGCGATTAACATACTATTTAAAAAAGAGTGCAAATTGCAGATCATTATTGCCTCACAACCATCAATTAAAGCTGTTAACTAGGGTTCCAAAGGGTGTATATCAGAAAGAATGAGAACTAGTAGGGCAGACACATAAATTAGAATATGCTGGTGTGCACACGATCTAATGAAAATCAGCCCAAGTCTAAAGGAAATCCAGCAGAGAACCTACAAGGAATCAATTAAGCATGGCCTTTCAACTATCTCTTTGGTAGACTATCACGTCGCTTGTTTTCCTTAGGAAACCCTAAGTGTCTAGACATGGCTAGCTTGGGTGTGAGGATAGCTGGCACCCGCAATGTGGGCTGGCAGGGAGAAGGAAGAAGTCCTCCACCACGGGGAAGAACTGGGAACTAACAGCCACAGAAGTGGTGTTATATGGTATAAATGAACAACAGCTACAATTTATTAGTGCCGTTTAACAAATTAGAGAAGTAAATCTTGAAGAGATCAAGAAATTTGGCAAAAGATTGCAAGGTAGTAAGTGGAGTTCAGAAACATAACCCAGGTCTGTATGGCTTCAACGTCCATGTTCTTTCTACTCTACTCGACAATAGTTTTACTCATCTCAAAGAGCTTGTCCATGTATTTTACAAACTTTTCCCTTCTGTTCTCCTAATAACTGTTGGGAGCTAGCAATAGGACCTATCCTTAAGAAAGAAGACCCATCAAGAGCTAAGTAAAGAGCTGGTACTCCAACCATCAGCTGGGTTTTGTGGAAAGATTGTCCAGTCCAAGAAAGTGAAAGGGGAAAGACCAAAGGGTATGAGATCAAGGCTGGTTCTATGGGACAACTGCACCTCAGGAATGACAGGTGCCTGGGACCCAACGGAGGTGCCTAGGTTCAACTTTAAACAATAATACCCCCACAATAACACATTAAAAATCAAAATGCATGTCAAAGTCCAAGTCAGTAAATTAAGAGTTAATTGCAAAGAAGTTACTTTTGACTCTGAAGCCCTTTGTGACGCCCAAATTGTAGTCTACAATCTGAAAGGAGTTGGGTGATAGACTGAACTTTTCTCTTTTTGCCATTTCATGTAGAGACCATGTTTCTGATGGGGGGGGGGGGAGAGAAAAGAAAAAGTTTTTCAAGTTACCACATCAGCAGCAAATCCCATGGAGATCATGAAAAAAACAGACTCTTTTCTAAGTCTGTCCAAATTTGTCCCATGGTGTGAATATAATACAGTGTCTTAAGGGGATATTGTACTGTAAGACACACAAATAAAATTAACTTGATTTATCAACATGGAAGGACCATGTGTTTACATATCGAGGAGATTGGCAGTTAAGGACTCATAAATCACAAGACAAAGAGGAACCTTGAAAATCAGCTTTCAATCCTCCTACCCCCTCTTTTGCTGAAGTATGTCCCTTAATGATTTTCCACTTGGGTATAAAGTAACTAATGGGCCTAGCCTGCCCCAAAAAGAATGATTGTAGAAACATGTGTAGCATTGGAATAATTGGGATAATTATCACTGGCTTTGTCTTTGATTGAGCATAACAGGGTGGTTTACCTAAACAACCCCAATCTGATTTTTGAGGGAGTTTTTAATTTGGATAAAGAACAAAGAAAACAATTCAGATATGAGTCCACTATTCATTCACTAAATATTTGTGCCAGACATTTAGCAAGAAGTAGAAGCACAATAATGAATGAATAAGACACTCAGTCTCTGCCCTTAGTGGAGCTTTGAGAAGGAGAGAAAATTAAATGTAATTTTAACATTAAAGATAATATCTGAAGCTATTACAATTATTTACTGATCTGTCCCATATTGTGAGCTTCTCAAAGCAATGAATAAAAGTATTTTCATCTTTTTCCAAAGCTATGAGAAAATAAAAATAAGAGCTCAATATATTTAATATTTTATTGCAATAAAACAAATTCATACACAGGTGGAGTCTGGCAGGCCTGTCCCAATGGGGTCCCATAGGGCCGGGCCAGTAGGAAAGAGGGGCCATGGGCAGTTGGCCAGCCAACCTTGCCCCCAATCTGCATGGGAGGGGCTGATCAGGGGCAGATCTGGCCAGGGGGAGGGGCCGCAGGCAGTTGCTCTGCCCCAGATCAAGATGTTGGGGACCCATCAAAGCCAGCCCGGGGTAGGGGGGCCAATCAGGGCCCCGGATCAGGCTGGTTGGCTGACACAGTGTGCGTCATAACCACTGGTCATTCTGGTCGTTCCGCGGTTCCAGTTGCTGGGCTTTTCTATAGAGAAATATGAAATAAACAGGTCAAAGTTTACAAAGGCATTCTTCTCTGCATTTTTATCTATTGTACATCATGATATGCAATCTTCATAGGTAAATGGGGGTAAAAAGTCTTAAATTTGTTTGCATTTTGCTATAAAATATATCCAAATATAGCTAGCCTATTTGTTTGCCATGGAAAGTGCATATAGGAACATCCAGTGCAGTGCTATGAACTCATTAATATTTACAAGTTTTAATTGACTAAACTAAACTATTAGTCAAAAAAGCAGTAAGGAAACACGGTTATGGAATTTCAAAGCACCCGTTTCACAATTTTGGCAGCATTAAGGTGAACTTCAGGAAACATGGACCATCAGACTTCTAGCCTCAATGTATTACATGTTCATCTCTCTAGTGTGTATATGTAAGACACTGGTATATGTATGCCATATTTCATAAAAGATATACTGTATGTACTCTTTTATGAAATTCCTGATTTTTAGACCTTTTTTCCACTTGTGATAATTGTTTCATCACCTTATAGTTCAAAAGACTTCTATGACCTCCTCAATCAGTCTATTAAACCACAACTCACCTTTGAGGTCTCTGCTTCTGAATAAGGCTTACCCTAATGACTTCACTTAAAAGTATATGTCCCCCACTATGACACACTCATTCTCCCTTACCTTGCTTTATTGTTCTTTAAAGTACTTATTTTCTCTTGCTCTATAACTTCTCATTTATTATTTTAAGTTCCATGTAAAACAGGGATTTTATCTATGTTATTCATTGCTGTTTCCCAGAACAGTGCTTGGCACATGGTATGTCTTCAAAAACTATTTACTAACTGAATGTCTGCCTAACAAAGAAAAGTCTCCACGTCACTACAAAGTGATTATAGGGCTGGCTGTCCTTCTAATTGTGATAGTACAATTAGTACCCAGTGAACTTGAGTAACCTGAATCTTAATTTTTTTTTTCTTTTGAGGACCAGAAATATGGAATTACTTGATTTTCCATGGACACCAGGCTATTTCTCTTCATTCTATCTGTCCTCATGCTTGTCCTCTTCCAGGAATGCCCTTCTATCATCCAAATCCTACCTAGATAATGTCTCCTAATTCTTTAAGGTAATTACCAGTCTTCTTATCTGAACATCATGACATGACTCTACCATGGTCCTTAGTACACTGCATTTATTTTATTAATTATTTCTCTATCCCTTCAATCAAACTGTAATTTTTTAAAGGACAGAAACTATTTTATTCATCTTTGCATGAATTCAACACAATAAGAACTGAATGAATAATTAAAAGAAAACTGAGTTCATTGCTCTTAGGAAGCAATATCAAGTGAGTCCAGCTGAGGGAGGTAGTATATGGGGAAATGCAAAAAGTCCAAAGACCTGGATTCTAGTACTGACTTTTACCACCGTTTTCAAATGTCTAGGATAAAAACATTAAACCAATACTGAAACCTTTTCCAAAGCTATAGGATGGTGTTACATTTAACCTAATGAGAGAAGTTATTAAAATGTCAGGTTTACATGCTCCATCTACTGGTTAAATTGTAGAAAAATATTATGTGGTCTTTTTGAAATGGAAGAGTGAAGAAATTAGAAAGTTTTATTTGTGATCAGTGAAGAAAAGAATCAAAACACTGTAGTTTGTAAAATATTAATGACGTAGAAAATGAACTGTTGAAAAAGAAAAATAAACACTGATAATCATATGGCTGTAGTGAAAAAAAACAAAGAATATCCTTCTACTTTTGGCTCATATACATGCTGTGGAAGACAGCCCCCATGAGCCCCACCTGCTGATGGTCACACCTTTGCACAATGTCCTTCACATTGTACCAGGCTCAGTCTGTATGAACAGTAGTATCCAGCAGGAGTGATAGCAAATCATTCCTTATATTAGGGTATCAAAAACTTAAACTTTCAGTTTAAGCCCCCACCCTCTCTCTTTCACCATTTCTCTTTCTTTTTCGGGTCACTTTTTTTGCGGGAACCAGCTGCCATGCCATGAGAACACTCAGGCAGCCCATGGAAAGGCCAACATCCATATCAGAAAGGAAAAAGTGAAGTTATCTCTATTAGCAGATGATGTGGTTTTATATATAGAAAATCTAAAAGACACCAACAAAAACTGTTAGAACTAATTGGTGAATTCAGTAAAATTTTAGGATACAAAATTAACATACAGAAATAAGTTGCATTTCTATATGCTAACAATGAAATATCTGGATGAAAATAAAAATTCACAACAGCATCAAAAAGAATTACATACTTAAGAATAAATTTAATCGAGGAAGTGAAATATTTACATGGAAAATTACAATACATCAATGAAAGATTTTGAAAAACAAACAAATAAATGGAGAAATACCCTATGTTTATGAATCAGAATAAATAATATTGCTTAAATGTTCATCTATAGAGACATCTATAGAGTCAATGTAATTTATCCCTATCAAAATTCCAATGGTATTTTTCATAAAAGTAGGAGGGAAATGCTATATTTTCTTGGAACCACAAAAGACCCTGAAGAGACAAAGCAAGAATTAAGCTGGAGAAATCACACTTCCTGATTTCAAACTATACTACAAACTACACTAATCAAAATGTATAATATATTACTGGCATAAAAGTAGATATATAGACCAATAAAACAGAATTTACAGCCCCAAAATAAACTAATGCATATATGATTAATTTTTGACTGAAAGTATATTACTGACTATATAATGGGGAAAGAATATTCTCTTCAAAAAAGGTACTGGAAAAACTGGATAATCACATGCAGAAGAATGAAATTGGCCTGCCATCTTTCACCACTCACAAAAACTACCTCATGTGAATGAAAGGCTTAAACACAGGCCTGGAACCATAAAAATCAAATAAACAATCAACAAAGTGAAAAGACAGTCTATGGAATGGAAGGAAATATTTGCAAGTCATATCTGATAAGGGGATAATATCTGAAATATAAGGAACTCAAATAACTCAATAGCAAAAAAAAAAAAGAAAAAGAAAAGAAAGAAAGAGACAAAACTTTCTGGGCCTAATTCACACATCTTTATGGTCTTTCTTCATTTCTGAAATTTATACTAATAAAAGGGTAATATGCTAATTAGTCTGGGTGGCCAGATATCTTCTGGACCTCTGACTTCCTCTGGACGGCTAGAGGGTGACCAGCCCAGCAAGGTGGCAGTTGGAGGATGATCAGACCGGTAGGGAGACAGTTGGGGAGCAACCAGGCCAGCAGAGGGGCAGTTTAGGGGTGACCAGGTTGGGTCAGGGGGGCAGTTGGGTGTTGGCCAGGCCAGCAGGGGGGAAGTTGGGGGTCAACCAAGATGGCAGGGGGCATGTTAGGGAGGTGACCAGGTTGGCAGGGGGGAAGGAGTTAAGGGGCAATCAGGCAGGCAGACAGGTGAGTGGTTAGGAGCCAGTAGTCCCAGATTGTGAGAGGAATGTCCAGCTGCCAGTTTAGGCCCAATCCAGCAGGCCAGGCTAAAGGACCACCCTCCACCCCCCTGTGCTCCAATTTTGTGCACCAGGCCTCTAATAGGAATAATAAAAACAATGGTGGGGAAAATAGTAAAACCTATGTATTACAGTTGCTCTGAGGATTGAATATTATATGTACTTGAAAATTTGTTGGAAACTGTAAAAGACAACACAATTACACATAATTATTACCTTTATTTCTAAAGTGATTTCCATAGTTAGAATTAGTGCTAGGGCATTTGGCTTCTTGTGGCTCGATGATGGGATTATTTTAAGATATTATCAAGAAAAATCCACTCTTCTCCAAGTGGAAGTTAGCTCACCTTGCACAAAGCACTTTGAAGAAAAGTCTTTCTATTTAAAAGTTGGAGACATGGGGGAGGGGACGGGGAGGGGGGGGTGTCAGGGAAATAAAGCAAACAAAAAGTCTGATTTAAAATTGGGCACAGGATCTAAATAGTCATTTACCCAAAGAAGGTATCCACAAATACCTGAAAAGATGTTCAATGTCAATAATCATCAGGGAAATGCAAAACAAAACCATAATGAGCTATCACCTCACACCTGTTAGAATGGCTATTATCAAAAAGACAGGAGAAAACAAGTAGTAATCATTTTGCAATATATCAGTGCATCAAATCAGCACATGGTATACCCTTTAAACATATACAATGTTCTTGTACACCAATTACACTTCAATAAAAATGGAAAAAATAAAAGTTAGTTTACTTAGTTTTTAAAGAATTGTGGTTTCTGGCCACCAAGAGCCAGGGCATTAACTAACAGCAGCTCAGTCATGAGATCATGATCAAGCTGAGCTATGCTCAATCTCTGCTCCACAGAAGGTATATAATTTGTTTTAAGCTGTTCGGTTTTGGAGTTACTTGCTACACTTAGTATGTGTTCAGTGAATCTGACTTAACTTTTTTTTTCTTTTTAAAAAATTATTGAATTCATTGGCGTGACATTAGTTATTAAAATTATATAGGTTTCAGGTGTACAATTCTATACTGGTTGACTTTTTAACATGAAAGTGCATACATCCATCTTCCTCGGAATGTTAGTCATTCTGCACACATATTTGGTGTTTGCATGCATTGCTTCTTCTCAGATACACACATTTCAATCTAATAAGAGCCCAGAGAGATATAAAGATTGTAGAGACTTTTACTTAAAATATATTGATATTTTACTAATATCAATGTATGAGATATGCCTTTAAAAAACATAGTCTGTCACCATTTTATGGTATGTAAGTGATGGGCATAACCCTCAATAGAGATCAGTGACTTATGTGGTTTTTGTTTTTTTTTAACTTTAATTTTATAGTCATCTTTCAAGTCTACCATTTTCCAAAGAATAGATAAATATTCATAGACTGATACTTTTTTCTTTCATTTTCTTTTTTGCCATAAAGGGATTTGCCTACTAACACTATGTAGATTAATGAGGTACAAAGTGAAAAGAGATGCATATAGGTAATTCGTTGAGATGCTGTCAAGGTAATGGTTTCTATATTATCTATAATCTTTTGCTTAAATTTTCTAGTGAAATTTGGATTTAATGTTTAAAACCTTAAAGTAGAGATAAAAATCAACTCATCTTGGCTTAACTGAAAGTTTGAAGCATACAGTAGATATAGATTCCAAATCTAGCTGGTGACTTTTATTAATTAAAATAGAAATCATAAAAGCAAACAAAATATCTTAGTTATACTAAAAAATCTTAGAGTAATGAAAACAAAGTTCTGAGACAGGGAAGATGAAGCAGATAATTTTTCAAGTGTCTAACTCTTCATTAAAATGTTTGGCAGCACCTTTTCACATATTGCAAAATTTGATTAGGTATTAAGAGATATTTGTTCAATGGTGACTATCTGTTGGAAAAAGAAAAATAGGAAGAAAGGAAATATATATATATATATATATATATATATATATATATATATATATATGACACATAGACACAGACAGTAGTGTGGTGAGAGCCAGAGGGAAAGGGAAAGGAGGTAGAGGGAAGGAGAGGCAGAAGTGAGCAAATTGGGAATAAATGAGGATAGTAAGAAACTTCACTTTGGGCTACAAGTGCACAATGCAGCGTGCAGATAATACCTTGAGTTGTATACTTAAAATCTGTGTGGTTTTATTAACCAATGTCACCCCAATAAATTCAATTTTTAAAAAAGAACTTAAAAAAAGCCAAGACCAGTTTGGCTCAATGGATAGAGCGTCGGCTTGGGGACTGAAGGGTCCCTGGTTCGATTCTGGTCAAGGGCATGTACCTTGATTGCAGGCACATCCCCAGTAGGGGGTGTGCAAGAGACAGCTGATCGATGACTCTCTCTCATCGATGTTTCTAGCTCTCTGTCTCTCTCCCTTCCTCTCTGTACAAAATCAATAAAATATATATTTTTTTAAAAGAACTATATTTTAAAAAAGGATACATTACTATAGATGGTAGGACAGCTAGGTTCTTTGAGAACTTCTCTTTGGCATTCTCACAGGACCTTGATCTTCTCCTGTTCTTGAAGTCTGGACTACATGCCTACTCACCTGCCAGGTGCAAGTAGTCCACCCTAGTGTGTTTATCATACGACTAAGTAAATCAAGGTCAATTTTCAGGCTCCCATGCTCCAATGAGCTCAGGCTTTAAACCTGACTAAATGTTATTTCTACAGGCTTAATAAACTTGGAGAGTTATATATTAAAAAAAAAAAAAAAAAAAAAAAAAAAAAAAAAAAAAAAAAAAAAAAACTCAATAAATACATCTTCACACTTATAGTTTTGGACTTTGTATCTAGGTTCTCTGTATGCAGGGGTGGAGGGCAAAAGAAAAATAGGCTCAAGTGTTTATGTAATCATAAGTCTCTCTAATCTTAATTTGGGAGAATAAACTACCTATAATTGTATTCTTATTATAACCTATTTATAGTCTCTTGTTTCGTTAACTTGTAATTGTGCATTACTTTTTAAAAGATTTAATTTCAATGAACCTTAGCAATGGGAAATGGGGGTTACTATAAATAGAGTTTAAAAAGCTAAGGTCCAAGAACATGTTATTGATAGTATAACACCTTATCTTACTTATAGTGACATAACCCTCTGGTGGTTTCCTGTCCACAGGTCCACTGTTATAACATCATTAAAATATTGTGTATATAATCATACCACTCATTTATGAATTAGCCACATTTTTGTTTTTTTCTACTTTAGAATCAGTATAAAAGGCGTTTCTGCCAAATAAATGAAGATTTGATGAATAACAAGGGAGCAAATAATAGGTTATTCATGATCATCTGCAAATACCTAAAAGAGAAATGAAACCTCAAAATATTCCATCTAGTACTTACCTATTACTGTACGTTTATACTAAGGTTAGTTATCACCATCCAGAAATACATAAAGATCAAATCTTCAGCTCTTGGCAGTATTTATCATGTTACCTGAACATAATAGGTACTCTCCTATGAAAGAGAGAAGGAGGAAAGAGTCAGTTTGCAGCAAGGCACAATACAATGCAGCTGACAAATGCACAATACAGCTACAAGCTGATGATTCCTTAAGATATTCAGTTAATTGCCTCAATAAGGATTTATAAACCCTCCTCTCTGGACTCTGCAGAGTTAAGTATTATGTACATTCACTCAGCTTTTAAAAACACAGTCCCAAACCTGTATCACTCTTTAAAGTGAGGAATTAAAGTTTACATGATGGGAGATACGGTTTAAAAAAAAAAAAAAAAAAGATAGGAGAGTAACAAAATAAGGCAAAGTTAACTTCCTGACAAAGAAATACAAAATCCCCTGTATCCTCTCATTTCAAAATCCCTCCAACTCTAGGCTAATACTAAAGGCAAAGGACAGGGGAAGCAGATGAGAGAGTTTGGTCATTTTGGGCACTTGTCAGAAAAACTAAATATTTTCCCCAAATGTTTTACGTTCAATAATACCCAACCACAATGTGCCAAGCCTGTTTTCTCTTAACTTTTCAAACCCCTGTGTATTCCAAGCTGAAATGTAACCCATGTGTCTCTGATTTGCTTACACTTAAATCATTATAAAATGTTCAACTTTAAAAAAGGATGTCCCAGACATCTTTTGTGTCATCCTCGTGATCCTCGTTCAGGATTCTTCTTAAGAATATGACATTTGGAAGAGCCGATGGAGACAAAGCCCCGTGTAATTAATCAGAATTCAGAACTTACAAACTCTGCATAGATTTCTGTCTGTATGCAGAAAAGCATGAATTTGTTCAATTAAGAAGAAAGAATTAGTAAATGTACTAAATTGACCTATTTCCTTAGAAAACCCCTTTAGATCTTTACGATAAGGCCTGTCTAGCTTGGACTCGTCTTCAAATACCTTCTTCAGACTAGTCAAATAAGATGCATACACAGCGAATGAAAGATAAAACTTTCTTGAGGATGTATCGGGGAATGTAAGAAATGGGTGAGCAACTCAGGCACCAGAAGAATTAAGTTCCATATGTTCTTAGATAATGTTAAAGATTAGCACTTTTCTCATATTACATTTTAGCCATTATAACATGATGAATTAAGGGTTCTAGGGCATAGAGACTTAGAGAAGCAGACTGTGGACACTAAATCAACTAGGTTTCAGGGTGTGGACTTGGTGTCTCTAACCCAGGACAGTAGTAAGTTATTGAGAAATAGATATAGCCCACCTTCTGCCATCCATCCCCCCCTTCTTTTACTGCAGGCTCTTTCTTAGGGGTGGGGTTGGACTATAATACAAAAAGGAGGACGAAAATAAGTTCATGAAATATGGTAGCAATCATACTTGGGTAAAAACTACTGTTTGAATTTTAATCCTACTATTCTGACTTCGACCTTCACTTACTTGCTTTGTTCATCGCGCAATGGGCTTAGGGAGGATGAGTTCAAGTTCTGGGCAAGGTTACAGGCAGAACTTTCTTTTTCATTAAAGAGCCAGCCCTGGGTACACTTAGTGGTTATCTCGATGCTGGCCTCGAAAACAATGCTGTTCTATCCAATTAAAAAAAAATGCACCTGGCATGATATTGAGCTGTAGGTATATCTGGTCTCTGGCCTGCAAGGTCAGACAGCTAAGTTTATCTTCATCATTCTTCAAACGGGCTAAAGCAAACTAAAAAGGAACATTTTATCTAGAAAGAGCAACAGAAAATTCCAAAACAACAATTTGTTGTAGAATAGGAGTTTTCCTTCTCAGAACCTTTAAAAATAACTACCTGTCCCTAAAACCTCGCAGTCATGTAGGGTCGGCCTGCGTGTGGTACTCTTGCAACTACCCTGGCCAGCTCAATAAATCCTTGTTTGCTTTTTTTTTTTTTTTTAATCAATCTTTATTGTTCATATTATTACAAAGGTTCCTCATTTCTTCCCCTCTCCACCAGGTTCCCACTCCACCCTCCGCCCCCTCCCCACCCCCCATTGTCCTCATCCATAGGTGCACAGTTTATGTTCACATGTAAACAAGTTTGCTCTCAATTCCCAGGGCAGAAAAAAAACATGGTTTAAAATTATTAGATTTTAAAATTTATTCTTAGAAGTGTAAAAGTTTATTAATTAAAAAAAAGAGAGATTGAAAAACCTGATGAACAATAATAGCTGTTCATTGCAGTAGAGTCGGCGATATGGGAGGGGAGTGGACTGACTGTTCTTGTTTGCTTTTTTTAATAAATTATCAGCCTCCGGTGGTCTTATTTTGAACCCAGGGTTCGACCCCACAACAGTTCATAGCAAGTCTGCATCTTTAAAATAAATACTTATAAGGACTTGAAGAAAATGTTTGTGTTCCTTGCTCCAGATAAAGAATAGCAAAGCAATAAAGCAAAACCCTGTGACTGTATCTGTAATTTAGGGAGAGAGGGGTGGGTAAAGAAATAAAAATAAAGACTTAAACTATATCACCTTAAAGTCACCCAGAAAGGAGGCTCTCTTTCTCAGAGGGAGTGTGGACAAGGTCAGCCTGATATTTGAAAACACAGAAAGGGGAAAGAAAGGGTAGGCACAGTGTGCTTGATCAGTGCTCATTTGCTCTAGTTTGTCATTTCACACTCCCAACAGAACAACGTGCATTTCACCCGTTTAACCTCAGTTTGTGGCAGTTTCACCTTTATAGGGTAGCACCTCCAGCTTTCTCTCCTTTCCCTGGTCTAATAAGATGCAGTGAATAGCTTGCAAACATTTTTGGAGACTTTCTAACACCTCAGTACAACCTAACCAATGGCTGGCATGGAAAAAAAGAAGTGGGAAGAACAGCTGAAACGGATTGGAGACCATCCGGACCAAGCCAAATGGATTCTGCCATCTGATGCAAAGAGGAAGCTGCAGGGACATCCAGGACCATCACCTAGTTTCTGACCCACACTGTGACACTGAACTTATTTCACTGGGAAAAGGGAAAGTCTTGATTTGTCCTCAGTTACATGCATCCCTATAAGGAAAAACCTCCGAGACCCTGTTGTTTCTTTGGAAGAGCCCACAATTACAAATTATGAAAGTTAGGAAAATTATTTGTCATAAAACAAGAGAGCACTGCATTTATTAGAATTATTCAACATTGCAAGATGTAGCCCAGCTAAGGTCCAGCCAAATGTTCAGTCCAGTTGAGGTAGGCCCTGCAAGAAAAGGATATTTCATTTGAACTTGACTGTCAGTTTTGCACTTAAGGCTAAGGGAACTAAATTTCTATGGGCAGGAAATTGATTTTAACAAAGCAAAATTTGTTTCCTTTAAAAAATGAAAGAGAGAACCAACAAAAGCTCTATTGAGGATTATTTGTACTAGCATTCTTTTTTATTTTCTCATTATTGGCACATGGATGGCTCTTCCCCTTGTAAGCCTTGGCTCCAGGGACACAATGTTCTCCAACTTCCCTGTTTCTCTTCTCAAGCTCTTCAGTCTCACAGCATTCCATTGTCATTCCCTCTCCCTATTCTATAGAGATGCATGCTAATTAGCAAAAACATCTCAACAGGCTCAGACTTGGATACTCATTTTCTCTCTTCATTTTTATAGTTTTCAGTTTTATGATTTTTCTCTTCAGTTTTATGATTATCACTGATTCTTGACTAATACTGCATTCTTTATTTTTCTTTTTTTTTAAATATATTTATTGATTTTTTTACAAGGCGAAAGGGAGAAAGGATAGAGAGTTAGAAACATTGATGAGAGAGAAACATAAATCAGCTGCTTCCTACACACTCCATACTGGGTATGTGCCCTCAACCAAGGTACGTGCCCTTGACCAGAATAGAACCTGGGACCCTTAAGTCTGCAGGCTGATGCTCTATTCACTGAGCCAAACCAGACAGGGCTGACTAGCACTGCATTCTTAAGTATGTCTAACAGTTTAATGGGACTCATTGGAGTGTAGTCAGAAAGCAGTTATCTTTTCTTCACTCCTATCTTTGCTCTCTGCAGAGGCAGGTCAGCTAAAGGAGGGAATACAGAGGAATAGTATTGTAGAATTCTCAGATCCAGAAGAACCAAACCACCAGAATCTCAATCCCAGCTCCCACAATTAATTAGAATAAATATATATGCTAGTTAATATAATATAGTAAACTAGTTTGTATATTTGAACTAACATAAATATTAGAATGTCAGTAATAAAAGCTGACATTATATAATAACCTTCATGCTATTCAAAAGTATTAATACTTTTGAATAGCATGAAGGTTATTATATAATGTCAGCTTTTATTACTGCTATATTTCAAACAGGTCCTATAATCTTTTCAGCTACTTTAAAAGAAAAAGACCTCATTTTCTGATCTTCTTTAATCCTCATCCAAGGATATGTTTTTATTGATTTTAAAGAGAGAGGAAGGGAGAGGGAGAGATAAAGGCATTTATGTGAGAGAAACATTGATCAGCTGCTTCACCTTCTTGCTCAGACTGGGGATCAAACCTGCAACCTGGGTCTGTGCCCTAACTGGGAAACACACCCATGACCTTTGGGTGTAAGGATGATACTCCAACCAACTGGGCCACACCAGCCAGGGCTCATTTTCTTATTTTTAAAAATCTAATAAAAACTCCAGTCTCTCATCTAATTCAGAGCTGTTGTTTTTTTTTCATTATATAGACCTAATCTGGACTTTGTAAAACAGCAACAGAGAAATGGTCTATGTCTTTTAATGTTTTTCTAACTTTCTCTTCAACATTATTTTCCTGCTCAATATTTTCCTTCTAAACTCTCTAGGGTCAGGGTGGGGATGAGGAATTACAGATAAAGGGGCAAAGGCTACTTTCCTTATTTGGTCCTGTCTGCATTTTTCTCTTGGCAGTGAAACGCCCTCTGTCAGACATTCAACTTCTGCCTCTTCAGTTTGTCAGGTTCTTTCCCAGGAACTCTTTAAATATCAACATCTCCCTGGACAGTCATGGTCTATGCCTATTGTCTTGGCACAATTACTAATAACACCCCCTCGGACTCTCTAAGCTGCCATGATTTGGGAAATAAATTATGCAATCACCCTAACACTGTACAACTGTTCAACATGAACAGCATACTCTCCAGCTGACCTCTTCTACTGTGTGGCTCCACTATCTTCCTGTTTCCTTGGAATCTACCACTTCATCCATCTAGTCAGCAAGTTTAGGAGACAAGATGGTGTGGCAGATTCTACAAGAGAGTTTTAGAACCCAAGCAAAGAACTGGCATAAATCACCTCTACCCACATACCACTGCCAGTACCATGTCTAGTCACATAACTTATGACTCCAACTTTTTTTTTTTTTACATCACACCACTCCCCTTTTCAGTTGATCTTTCTGGATCTATCCAACTTCTAAATACAATGCTAACTAAAAAATCGAATTTTCTTGGGAACTGAGAGGATGAAAGCAAATTGGTATCTGTCCAGCCTTTGCCAGGTTCCACACTCTTCAGCAAATATTCATTTCATCTTCTTCCCACACATAGATCACATTACTTCCTCCCCGAAGGACAACCCAAAGTCCTCTCCAGTCATAGTGCCTAAGATTGCAGGTGATGTTCAATCCCTTCCATCAGGTTTACAAATGACTCATTTTTGTTTGATGATCAGCGGACTAAAATGCTGTGTTTTCTGCTTCTCCCTTCCCTGCATATACTCAATTTTCAATGGTAGAGCCAAGGACAGGCAAACTTCAATAAACATCCCATTCAGAAAGAGGAAGAATGGGAGACATATGGTTTTCTCTGGGAAGACATTGTGCTAGCCCCTGTTCTGGTATGTGGAGAGTATTTGATTTAATCCTTATTCTATTCTCTGTGAGGAACTCCCTCGCCCATATTCTTTGGGCCATTTGTTCTGCTCTCTGGGAGAATATCAATCTAAAATGGGTACTGATGAGCCTTCCCCCTGTGAAGGCACTTAAATCTTTTAAGCTACATTCTACTCATGAATAATTTGGTTCCAATCTCTGTATTGTCATAATCAAAGGCTTTCTAAACTAGTGCTGTGTTTTTTGAAGAAGTCAATTGACTCAAATGCTCAGTAAATGTCTAATCATTTTGCCTTCAGTCAATTCCATGCTCTGTATACCAGTAACCACACCCAAAATTATTTCTTAGACACAGTAAGATGTGGCATTTAAAAAGACTTTGAAGAAAAAATACCAGTAAAATGTATTTGTTAAATGAAGTGACTCTGGGGAAAGATCCAATTAAGGGTGTGGTCCTCCCACTCAAGCCAGTTAATTTCAAGGTAGCCAACATTAAGTTGAGAGAAGGAAAGAGGCATGAAAACAAGAAAGCAAATAAATAAAGCCAACATGAGATTGAATTAAATCAAGCTGCTTTAACAATTTTTTTTTTTTTTTTTTTTTTTTTTTTTTTTTACCTAAAATAGCCTTCTTTTCTTTCTTCAGATGTGTTTTGTGGGAACACCCCATCTCTTCCACACCCTTACCAAACATACAAGTTAGGGATTTTTTTTTTCACATGGCAAAAGCTTTTAAATACACAGCTGCTATTTTGGTTTGAGTCCTTCAAATATGTTAAGGGTAGCAGTTGTGTGCATTTTTTTGTTTTCTTCTGTCATGGTTGAAAGTTGGCTGCCACAGATTTTACAAGAACATCTGCACTGATGGAAGGAATGGGGAAAATGTGGGGCATCAGCAATTTGTCCCTTTTATCAGGAAATCAACATTGGCATCCAGTATCTACCATTCTGCTTATGTTCTACAGTTTGTTGGGCAATACTGTCAAATTTCTAAGTTTAAATACAGTAAAATAAACTTAGTAATTAAAATATCAGAATTAGCCCTGGCTGGTTTGGCTCAGTGAATAAACCATCAGCCTTCGGACTGAAGGGTTCCAGGTTCAATTCTAGTCAAGGGCATGTACCTTGGTTGCAAGCACATCCTCAGTAGGAGGTGTACATCAATGTTTCTAACTTTCTATCCCTCTCCCTTCCTCTCTGTAAAAAATCAATAAAATATATTTAAAATAAAATATCAGAATTAGAGCCAAAAATGCATATTTAATATATAACCAAATTTTATAATCCTTAAAAAATTGAGTATGTTAAACAAATTGCCTTATACTGCAATATAGAAAGGAAATAACTTGTAATTTAGAAAAATAACTCTAACCAACTGATTTTCTTACAAATGATTCATTTTTGTTTGATGACCAGTGGACTATGAGTTCTTGAAAGGGATTGAAAATTTTGTAAATACTAAAAATAAAGTCACTTATAATGACCTTGATAAACAATACTGATTGGTTCAATCAGTCATGGGTAAGATAAATGTGGGTGACTGAATTATTGGTATATAAGAAAAGCAAGAAAGAAAGGGAAGGGAGGAGAAAGGAAAAATTAAAGATAGTTTTATCAATAACTCTATATGTTAACCAGATTCAAGCCAAATTAGAGCAAGATTCATGAAATTAGCATTTTGGAGGGAAATTATGTGGGACTATAGCAATTGTTCAGGAGCAGTTTGATTGTGATTCTTATGGATTTGACTTTATAGTTGGTTGATGGAGGGGAAAATGCTAATCACAGTGAGGCAAAGGCATAAGGAGTGCCAGACACTATTCTGGGTACTATAATTAATACTTTCATTATGCTTCATTTAAACTTAGACATTTAATGACACTGCCCAACTCAAATTCGCCCAACACTCACTAGAAGAGGAATTACAGGGAATTTAAACAGTTAGCCAAGAAATTATAATAAAAATATTATTGTAACATGAATGAGAAAATATCATTTTATTTGAGAGATGATGGTGAGAGCTCTCAAATGGTTTCAGAAGGCCATGTTAAAGCTATTGAGATAAGTTTTGCAGGATGAATGGGATCCAACACACAGTTACAGTAGAGAAGGGAATCCCCTGCAGTTGGAAGAGCATATTTTGAGACATGGACCCATGAAAGAGCCTGAAGTTTCTGGAACCATGAGCAAAAAGATTTGTGAGATGGTAGATAACAGTGGCTCGAGCTGGAGCCTGGAAAGTAAGATGTTGGTAAGGTTACAAATTACTTTGGGCGGTCTGAAATGTTTATTCTTTATCCAGGGGCAACAGAGATATCAGAGGGAGCAGGTGACTAGCTTTCCTAAAGAAATTCTGACAAAGCTATAGAAGATATCTAAGAGAAAGTAAGATTAGAGGCCAGGAGACCATTTTATTACCATTTTGTGAGCAAGAGTAGATGAATTCCTGAACTATATAAGTTCAGGTGGGAACAGAGAAGAGGAAGAAGACCCAAGATATATTCAGCAGGTTGGGAAACTCTACCTTAAATAAAACCTGAAAATAAATAGGCGAGTTGAGGAAGACTCAGTACTTCTGACTTTGATGACTAGTGGATGATGATGACATTAATTGAGGTGTGGAATATTGAAAGAAAACAGATTTGAAAGGAGGGGCACGTTAAGGTGACTATATGGCATGCTGGTGTCTCTTAGATATTTGGAAATGAACTCCCAGAGCTTGAGAAATAAAAGTGGTGAGAGAAAAATAAATTGGTATCTACCAGTGTGGTGAAATCCAAGGAAGAAGATGAGATCCTTTGGGGAGGCTAGATGAAAGCAGGTATCAAAGAAGTAGATGGAACTTTTCTAGGACATTAGATAAGAGCTAGTAAGTTGATGCTTTTGTTGAAAATAATTGCTTACTTGGGTCCCTTGCCCCTCTCCATTCTCCTTCTCACATCATGCCTTTGCACATAAAACACATAATAGGCAGGAAGGGAGAAAAACTGATTCGTTCTCCCTGAGAACACTTAGCAACTTTGATAAAATATTTAATGAGACAGAAAATGGAAGCTATTGATTAAAATTATGCATAGCAGTTAACTGTAAGATTCAAATATACTACATGGATAATTAAGACTTGCTTATATGAAAGACATTTAAAAGATTCACTAAAATCTTATAAGAATACTAGGGGCATAATGCATAAATCCATGCACCTTGAAAGGAACTGTGGGCCTCAAGGCTGCAATGGGCACAGGGATGGGTCCTGGTCCATCCTCTGTGCCTCTGCCAGCCTCTCCCACCTTGGCCCCAGTCCTCGTCTGCCGGCAGCCCAGCTCCCACCAATGCTGCTCCCATATGCTGACCATGCCGGCTCCACTAACACCCGCTGATAGCATTGAGTGATCAAGGCCAATGCCAGGTGCTAGCAGTGGGTGCAAGTAGCAGCTCTGGCACCAGCAGCGGGTGTGAGCAGGGTCAGCGCCAGCAGCAGGTATGAGCACCAGGCAGGACCGCAGTGCTCAGGAGCAAAGAATTTTCAGTAACCACCAGAGGCTCAACCCAATGACAGCAACCAGTGCCCCGCCTTGGTCTGGCATCCCCACTCACGAGCTCCATAATGGTCAATGCCCACCATTTTCCATGGGAACCCCCTGGTGATCAGCTCACGTCATAGCTACCCATTCTTTGCTTGTTCTACAATTTGGTTTATTGCATTTTAGGGTATTATATATATATACTAAAGGCCGGTACACAAAATTGGTACATGGGGAAGTGGGGGGGATGTCCCTCACCCTCTCGAATCTGGGACCTCTTGAGGGATGTCTGACTGCCCATAGCATTGAGCCTAAATAGGCAGTCGGACATCCCTCTCACAATTCAGGGCTGTTGGCTCCCAACTGCTCACCTGCCTGCCTTCCTGATTGCCCCTAACTGTTTCTGCCTGCCAGCCTATGACCCCTAACCACTCCCCTGCCAGCCTGATTGATGCCCAACTGCTCCCCTGTCAGCCTGATTGCCCCTAACTGCCTTCCCCTAAAGGCTTGGGTTTCCCCCAACTGCCCCTCCCTGGAAGCCCAGTCCCTCCCAACTTCCCTTCTCTGCCAGCCTGGTCACCCCCAACTGCCCTCCCCTGCTGGACTGATCACCCAACTGCCCTTCCTTGCAGGCATGGTCCCTCCCAACTGCCCGTCCCTGCTGGCCATCATGTGGAGGCCATCTTATGTCCACATGGGCAGCCATCTTGTGTTTTGGAGTAACAGTCAATTTTCATATTACTCTTTTATTAGATAGGATAGAGGCCTGGTACACACGTGGGGGCTGGCTGATTTGCCCTGAAGGGTGTCCCAGATCAAAGTGGGGGTTCCCTTGGGGCATGGAGCAGCCTAGGCGAGGGGCCTGTGGTGGTTTTCAAGCAGAGGCCCTGGTATATGGGATTTATTTATCTTCTATAATTGAAACTTTGGCCAAAACCCGTTTAGCTCAGTGGATAGAGCACCAGCCTGCAGACTGAAGGGTCCAGGGTTCAATTTCTGTCAAGGGCATGTACCTTGGTTGCGGGCACATCCCCAGTAGGGGGTGTGCAAGAGGCAGCCAATCAATGATTCTCTCTCATCGATGTTTCTAACTCTCTATTCCTCTCTCTTCCTCTCTGTAAAAAAGCAATTAAAAAAATTTTTTTTATAGTAAACCTTGTCCACCTGACTTGATGAGGTCCCTGACCTCAACAAACATGAAAAAGGGAATTCACACTTCACTTTAGTAGCAATTATTTGAAAGTTAGAACTACAACTTAAATTTATAAAACAATCTCTTGACTCATTCAGCTAAGTCTTTTATGGATTGTTTTACAGTTCTTACAAAACTTGGGAAATAACTATTGAGAAAGGCCGCTGATGATAACAACCTCTCTTGTCCTTGTGTGTCCTCCATTTCCTTTTACATATTCCTCAAATAGAATAGAACTATATGCATAACAAGCCTCAAAATGACCAGAATAATGAATCTCTGGCAAATAAGTTCACCACCTTTATTAATTATTACATAAAACACACAGTAAATAATTTCAAATGAATCAGAAGAGCCTTTGATATGGATTTTAGTGACTTCTTTCCTAGAGTGCTCTTGGGTGATTTCTGGAGCAATTCCTAGACCAGTGTCTAACCCTCAAGAAATGCTTCATCTTGGCAATGAAGTACTTTGAAATGCTGGCAATAGAAATATCTTATGCACCAAAATATGTTTAACTAAGTATTTAGCAATAAAATATGTTGTGAGGGCTTTCATATTACATATTGGTATAAGTTTATTACACATTTTAAAAAACAATAAATTATAAAATATTTTTGTATTATACAACAGATACTTTGATTCAGAACTTGACAACCTAGTGTAAAAATTATAGTCTATGGATCATTGGGTCACTTTTCTAATATACTAGGGCCTGGTGCATGAAATTTGTGCACTGGAGGTGTCCCTCATTTCAGGCTGCACCCTCTCCAATCTGGGACCCCTTGGGAAATGTCCGACTGCTGGTTATGGCCCGATCCTGGCAGTCAGACATCCCTCTCACAATCCAGGACTGCTGGCTCCTAACCACTCATCTGCCTGCCTGCCTGGTTGCCCTAACCACTCTGCATGCCAGCCTGATAGCCACCCTAACTGCTCCCCTGCCAGCCTGATCTCTCCCAACTATCTTCCCCTGCAGGGCTGAGAGGACTGTGAGACTCTGGCTGAATGAGGCAGGGCTGAGGAGACTGGGGGACTACAACTGGATGAGGCATGTGGTACCTGCTGCCCCCCAGCAGGCCTGAAGGGACTGGGGGACTCCGGCCAGATGAGGCAGGGCTGAGGAGACTAGGTACTACCATCTTGTAGCTGTGGGTGCCACCATCTTTGTGAGGGTGTGGCAGTCAATTAACATTCCCTCTTTATTAGATAGAATTCTTCAAACCTAAGGTACTCAATGCTACAAACATGTATTCAGGTTTTTATAGAACAAACTTTGCTTCTCTACTCATTTTAAACAATCCTTATATTGTAGAATTCAAAAAATTATATAGTATTTAAATTTTTTAAATTATATTCAGAATGAGCATTTGCTTGTATTATCTTTATGGACTATTTGCTTTTGACATGACTAAACTTGTTTTGTTTTCTAGTGTTGAAAGAAGTAGAAAAATTGATCCACTTAATGAACATTTCTGAAAAATATTAACACAGAACAGTGAAAAGGTTTAGATTTAAAAGAAACAAAGACAGCTGCTGGGGGAAAAGAATTAGTCTACTAAAAAAAATGAACACAGTTTTGTTTTCAAGCACAGCTCCAAAGGCCATTAATGTTTTCAATCTAAGTGAGCAATAAAGGCTACTTTGGAAAATATCTGTTCAGTAACAGCACTGATTTGAAAAATTAAGAAAATAAGTTTCTGCAAAAGAGAATATAAAAAGAGTATCCAACCACAGTCATAATAATTATCATCATCACCCAGAAGCCTATTGTGTCAACCATGTACATACTGCACACAACCAACCAGCAGGTCACCGCTAAGAGACCTGGTGGGATAGAGAAAAGATCTCTGAGTTCAATCCATCTGTGTTCCTCCAGGTCTGTTGCTAATTAACAGAAAGATTAGGGCCTCCATTTCTCAACTTCAAAATAGATGAGGCAGCAAAGGTACTTTATAACTCATTCTATATTATGAGAAAATAACACAGAAAATCAAGGATAAAGCAGTGATACACCAATTGCCATAGGTAAAAACTTGGAGAACTTTTTAGTTGAAAGTTGGCAAATTCCCCAGCAAGACCACAGCTTCAAATTATCCCTCAACCCATAATAATTCTTAGGGAATTATTAGCATATTTCTTCTGAGCCATTACTATTTTGTAATGTACATCACTAGAGTATAAAAAAATATTCTGTCCCACCACCTGGCTGAGATGTAGCAAAGAAGAATCAGCAGGTAGGTGCTGGCACCTCCCACACATACTCTCTCTTGCTCTACAATGTGGCTTGGAAAGTGTTATCACCCTTCAATACAGATTAAGCTAAAGCAGATATTCAATCTGCTTGTGAGCTGAGATATAGACCCAGCTCTAGAGATGGTAGAATCTCTTCATAACATCATTTAATACTATCACAAAAATAATGATTAATGGAAAATGCAATTTATGCTTCATGTAGGTAAATCACTGAATGTTCAAAACATTTAAGAAAATCTAGTTTCAATTTGTTTTAATTCATAGTAATTTTCTTATGGCTCATCTGTTATTGCTCTCCAACAAATGAAATTATTTGTGTGTCTGTCTGCTCCACTGGACTGAAAGATCATCAAGGATAGGAGTTGTGAATGATTTGTTTACAAGTTTTCAACCTAGAGCTCTGTCAGACAAATAATATTGTTTAATAAATGTAGACCTAATTTGAAACATTTAAGAAAATTTATGAGATAAAACAGTAATATTGAGAATATTTTTCCATGGAATCAGCTCTTTCACTTATTTTTAATTACTTTTAAATGAATTTGTGAAAGCACCTTTGTTACCTTTTAGTGATAAACCATTTTAAGTGGACCATCAGCATTATCTGTGAGCATAGTTTGGAATGACTGGTCAAAGATAGAAATAGAATCTAGGTTGATGTTCTCCTTCAAGATCTCCTTAATCTTGCCTATGGGAAAATCAGAGTTAAGGCATGTCAATCTCTATTTTTTGTTGTAGTCATTGTTTTGTTTTATATATCATGATGTAAGCAGCTCAAACACATATCCAGAAATGGTTTTTGACATGTTTCCTTCTTTTCCATACTCTTCCTCACTCCAAGAGAGAAGGAAATTAGCTTTCTGGCTGACTATCCAATCTCATGTCCACCAGGACCCATTAGTAATTCTCAATGGGGCAACGGTAGTGAATCTGGCTGATGATAACTTGGCTGAGGAGTTAGTTGACCTACCTGCTGATGAGCTCATCCTCAAAGTAATTCATGACTCTAGCAGATGTTTAGACTAAACAGAATGGTAACCTTCTTCAATCTCCAAAGCCAACTGGGATCCAATGCAAATCTTCTAAGCCATGTGCCACATACAACTAGGACACAAAGAACAGCAGAAAGACATCCAGAGGAGCTGCTACTGTACTGCTTCCTCACACCTCTGATCAAACTATTGAAGCTACAAATGACTGCTGTGGAGCTATCGTGCAGAGCTGTGTAAGCTGCCTACTAGAGGAAAATGAAGAGAGGAAGATTTGTACTGAAATAAATCTGCTGCTTACAAGAAGGAAAAATTTGATTATAGCAAATGAATCGTAGTGATTCTGAAAGAGCTAAATTGATAGTTTCAAAAACCAGAGATCCTTCTTTATACACAGGAAAAGCATTAAATAGAAAGTAAAACAATGTTCTCTGAAACAATTCTTTCTGTCTCTAGAAATAAGTAGATAACTCACTGGTGCATAGACCCTGAATGTTTCATAGGAATTAAATTACAATATCAGATTTTTGTGGCATTGGATTGGAGCCTATAAACACCTTGTCAAGATGGACTGACATATTAATCACATAGCGATAATTAAATATTACTTTTTAATTTGATTGTGTGCTCATATACAATTGTATATGCATATATATTCATTTTAAATTAAATCTGGAGATCAAAAACCAAAAAGGTTGGTGTTGTCTATGGCCATACTCCCCTGCACACTCCAAACCTATTTCCTTTTCACTCTAGTTAATGATTTTCTACATACTTTATCTCACCCAACTAAAAAGAAAGTCATATACTACCTAGATGTTACTTTTACCTCCTAAGAATATTTTTCAAATGCACATTGTCAGGGTTTTCAAACTAAAGGACAATTTTTACACTATAATAATGTATGACTTAGAGATTATACAACTATGAAAATTCTATAATTCTGGGTGAACATTTCAGTTTTGATAGCCACTATAAATGACATAAAATTAACTGCAACATCTAGCCAGACATGTGCTTAATAATGTAAGAAACTCTTCTCCAACACAAATGTTTAGGTAGTCTCTTACTTTGGGGTTAAAGCTTAAATGACTTCCAGTCTCAGTTTTGCCACATCCCAGTGAAATTCTAAAAATTTAAAGTGTGTTACAAACTTCTCAAATAAACGACGACATTAAGTTTTGGAAAGCACCCATGCTTTGTAGTATTAAAATGGACCATGTACACTATAGATCCTAGAGGGTAAAGTTGTGTAAGGTCAGGGAATTCTTAAAGGCTTTGAAATACTAGAGTATGAGGGCATGTACTCTTTAAGTCTTCACATCTCTAACAAGGAAGAAAAAATCCATCAATGGGATTGCTGCCCAGGCCAAACAAAAAGCTTATTATTTTAGGGATAAAATACTTTCAATTTTCAATATTATTTCTAATCCATTATCCATATTTCTTTAAGTAGAGCAATTTCCTTTTAAGTGGAGGTAGTTGCATCTTCACATCTATTTGAAAATGCAATTAGATGGAAATATAATACGCTACAGCTGGAAAATGAACAATCCATTTTTTCTCTTCCTAGACAAGGTCACACTGCTGAGCTCTCTCAAGTTGAGCGTGATACAGAAGTTGAGCCATAAATCCAATGAAACGGAAGACTCTGGCATCCAAGCCACAGCAAAACCCAGTGTCAAAGGGGCTCATATTTGATTCTGTCTGTCTCATTTAAAAACTTTCAGTTATTATTAACAAACAACCTCTCTCGTAGAAAACAAAAATCTGTAGTATTTTACAGACCAGATAAACAAAAGACATTGTCATTTTTACTAGTAAACCAAAACATATTTAAGAGGAAAAAAATGTAAGTGAAACTAATTTGCTACATATGTTTTATACATACAGTACATAAGGGGGTTGCTCTGACACCATATGGAAAGCATCTGAACTTGTAAGACAATGACCTTCATAAATCACTCTAGGCTCCAACTCCAAATTATGTCTTGTTCCCCCACTCATGGGATAGTCACTATATCTCATATAAATTCATTATGTTATATGTGCACAATAATCTATCTCTACCTTTATAAGGAATGATGTCATAATGTAGAGGCAAGGATTTTTTTTAAAAGGGAACAAGTTCTCCCACCAGATGGGCCAACCTATGGTACTGCTTCTCCAGATATAATGTTTTACAAGGCAGCATATGCACGCTGCTTAAAGGAAGAGGAAATTAATCAAAGGAAGAGGAAATTGATGGAGAAAGAAATGAGCAGTCTGAGAACACAATGTTTCTGAGGTTTCCTGATTTCTTCTTCTTCCAAGGTAAATGTAAAATAAAAACGCCTATATCTTTTCTCATACTTTCCTTTTATATATTCCTCATGGACGTCCATCAAAATGAAATCTATGCTCTGCGAGTAATTTTTATCTGTAATGAATCACCAACTATGGTACCAGTAGGTTTTTCTCTAAACTAATGTCTTGCCATGACAGAAGTTTAAACTGAGGAGCAATAAGTTTTGCCTCTGGTTGAATGGGGAGGAAAAGAAAATAGATATTTTCTACCATCCAGCTTCTTTCTCCATAGAAAGTTTTATTTTAATAACTTCCTTATTGATCCCATCTTTCTTCCATTTTCTGTACTTAAGGAATATAGTTTTATTTGTGCTATTTATTCACTTTCAATCACTTGTGGAAATGACCATTGATTTAAGATGAATACCAGTGAATGGTCCTGAAATGAAAACCTTGTATAAACATATCTAAGGACTACTTTTCAGTCCCTTGAAATTGTCTCCCTACTCTTCCTCTCTCCTTCACTCCAGACCAGTCAACAAACATGTAACATAAGGAATGGAGAGGCCAGATCTCAGGCCACAATAAATACATGTTGAATGAATTAAGTGAACATTAATGGCTATAAAATGAAGACTTATTATGAGAATGACAACCTGGAGAAATTATGTCCCATCTGAAGTGAGCAGCTCTGAAAAATCGTTGCAAGTCAGGATTGCTCTGGGGGTGGAAAAACACTATAAATGGGCCATCCATGTAGAAGTTGAAAAATTATGTCTATAGCCTGGCTCAGCCCTGCAAAACAAAAGTATGCAACATCTGACTTAGAAGATACATTTGTTGAAGGAAGGAAGTATAGTTGAAAATATAGATTCTCAATGAACTCTAACTGCTCTCTAATGGAAGGTGTTATTATATATATTTGATGAGATCAGTAAAACATGGCAAAGCAGTGAACTACAATAACATAAAAAACAGGAGTAATCTCTACATTTAATAGTAAAATTTTGCATGAGACTACTAGGAATAAGATATTTTATAATGCATTCATAGTTGATTATCTTCCACTATCTATCTATACTAATAATAACCTAGGGCCGTCATGACCTAAATGACCGGATGGACAACCAGTCACCAGGAAATGTATGGAGCACCTCTAGGTCCTTTCCCTGTGGCCCACAGGCTCCTATCACAGCAAGGCTGGCAGCAGGCAGATGGGTCAGTTGGCGAGAGGGTGTGGGGGCTCAGCAGGCTTGACAAAGTCATTAGCCTCAAGCCTGGGGCTGGGTCAGAGGACTAACGACCTCGCTGTGGTGGCTGTGGATCAGGCTAAGAGAGAGAGGCAAGGCCTGATCTGGAAGCTCCATGGCTGCTGGCGATGCCTGGAAAGAGAGAAAAGTGGGGCCTGATCAGCAGTTGCAGCGGCTGCTGGCAATGCCCAGAGAAAGAAAGAGATAGGGACCAATCAGCAGCTGATATGGCTGCTGGTGAGGCCCAGAAAGAGAGAGAGGTAGGGTCTGATCCACAGCTGCCATGGAGGCTGCGGATCAGGCCTGGAGATAGGTCCAGAGAGAAAGGCAGCTGTTAGCGGGTCCATTCTGGATTTCCCAGAAGAGCCAATGGCTGCCTAGGAGGTGGAGCTTTTGACACCAACTGGCATAGAAACCAACCAATCAGAACCTAATCTGGGTGAACTGTGAAGGCAGAACCCAAGGTGGGGGCTGAGTAGGGGTTTTAAGGGCAACAGTTGCTTGGTGTAAGGTGTAAGAAAGCAGTTTAATTTTTAATAACCAGTCTGGCAGTACAGTGCATATAGCTGACTATCAGCCCAGATATAGAGATTATATATTTTTGTCTGTAAAGAGTATCTCCTCCTGTTAAAAACGGCTCCTCCCTCCCCCAATTTAAGCAATTCTATCCAAATAATATACCTATACTAATAAAAGCGTAATATGCTAATTAGACCAGGTTAACTGGCCATCTTCTGGACTACCTTCTGAACAAAGCAACAGTAGTGGAGGCTGAGGCAGAGGCAGTTAGGGACAATCAGGCCAGCAAGGCAGAGCAGTTGGGGGTGAGATCAGGCTGGCAGGGGGTTAAGAGGAATCAGGCCAGCAGAGAAGGGCAACTAGGCCAGCAAGGGAGGGAAGTTAAAGCCGATGAGGCAGGCAGACAGAGGTGGTTAGGGACAATCGGTCAGGCAGGCAGGCAGAAAGGTTAGGGATGATCAGATAGGCAGGCAGAGGAATTAGGGACAATCAGGCAGGCAGGCAGAGTGGTTAGGGGCAATCAGGCAGGTAGGCAGGTGAGCAGTTAGGAGCCAGCAGTCCCAGATTGCAAGAGTAATGTCTCCAAGGGGTCCCCAATTGGAGAGGGTGCTGGCATGGCTGTGGGAACCCCTCCATGCACGAATTTCATGCACCTGGCCTCTAGTATATATGAAAGGCTAATATGCAAAGTGTCCAATTGGGAGTCCAACCAGGAGAATGGGAATTCAATTGCTCACTATGACATGCACTGACCATCAGGGGGCAGCATGGAACATGGCAGGCAACCAGCAGCAGCAGCAGGGCACTGAGGGAGCGAGTGAAGGAGGAGGCAGGGAAGCAGGGAAGCGGGGAACCTGATTGGCCCTGATCAGCAGCCAGGGCTAGGGACCCTACCAGTGCACAAATTTCATGCACCAGGCCTCTAGTTTTGAAATATTGTGCTAAAGAGATTGACCTTTAGAACCCCTAATTAACAAAATAATCCTAAAAAGCCTGCAAATACATATAATTAAGCATACATACACATACATAGTACTAAATGTAAAAAAACAAATAACAA